AATGGCATTTTACGTCGAATCACGTTTCAAATTGTTGCCACGAAATGTTATAAATAATGAATAAAGAAGAAGCGTTTCTCGCACTGTGGAAAAAGCAACGGTACCTAAAGTCATCAAATTTTGAATATCGTAGCCTTCCACCTGAACATGGGCACCAGGAAGCATGAATTTGCAATTTGCAATTTCTTTTTTGTCTATTTCGTATTTTATAAAACTTTAACGAATTTTTTATCAAAAAGCTCAATAGTTTCAAAGCGAGCAGTGGTAATACAATAGGTAATAAAACATTTTTACCTTCAGCACGCCAGACTGCGTATCGGAAATTCTAAAGATATGCTGTTTTTAAATGTCACATCGTGTTTTTTAGCACGATGTGACATCAACCCAAATGCTCTCGAGTTTTTAACATTTTGTGTGTTATTTTTATTTATGAAATATCAGGTTCTTCGCACTTAAACTATAAAATTCAGTTCAAGAGCAATATCGCAAAATAATTTTTTAAAAAAATCTCTAGAATTTCCGAAACACAGTTTCAGGCGCTGGAGATAAAAAAAAAGTTTTTTTCTGTATAACGTTGCCATTTCTCGTTTTGAAATCCTTGAATTTGTTGATCAAAAATTCGAAAATTCGTTAAAGTTTTACGAAATATGAAATCGATAATAAAACAAATTCCAAATTTCAGTTTTGGGCTTCCCAGATGCCTATATTCGCAGTAGGATTACGTCATTCAAAATTGGATGGCTCTAGGTACCGTTGTTTTAACGTAATGCGAAAAACATACATAAATGTATGCAGATTCTTCATTATTTGATTTCTTCAAATATAATACAGGACGATAATATTTGGTGGCAACAGTTTGAAAAATGAAACGGACATTCAGAGTGATTGGACACAAAATCGCAAAACGAAAACTGTAGTCCCTCAGGGACAAAGGGAATTTTATGGGTTAAAGGCGAAGAACATGGTATTTAATAAATAAAGATAACACACAAAATGTTAAAAAAACGCCTCTTTGGGTGTACTATAAAATCTGAAAGTTTTCAGACTTCTTTATTTGTGTGCTTATTATTTTTTATTTCAACAAAAATTAAGCATTTGAAAAATGTAAAATATTTTTTCGTTTAACTCATATAGGAAAAAATTTTCACTCAGTTAAATGCATTCATTTTAATATTAGGAGGAGAAAATTTCTGTTTGCTTTGGAGGAATTGTTGTTCTATATATTTGTCTCATGCAAGATTATGGATCTGCTGACTGTGGTTACCTTAACAACAGCAGTGGTATCTGTCGATCTCCGATAAATCGAAACTGACGGGTAGGCGGTGGAAATATTTGTTTCATGAAACCTGAAATCATGTAAAAGAGGGTTTTATATTTTATATATATAAAGAAAATTTTATCAACCTATCATCAGACCTGTCTATCCAATCTGTTACGAACCCTACGCACACAACAATATATTATACTATAACTGTAGTAACAAACTCACGCGTACATCCCGTTTTTAGTGTTTCAGTAAGTTTAAGTCACCAGTCCTTGAATATCAGCTCTAATACACCGTACGATGCTAGTGATATAGTGCATTATTCTACTAATAGTGATATAGTGCATTTCCCTTTAAAAGTCATCCACGAAAGTATCCCACCCATTAAGCAGATAGCTCTCGAGTGCTCTGCGATACTTAAATAAGCCAAACCATCCCTTCCAAAGAAATATATGGAACTAAAACTATTTATTAATTTATCGCCTGATATAAAAGTATTGGCGTCGTAGAATAATTGAAACTCTTAGGTTAATATAATTATTTACACTTAAAAATTTTACTTAAACAATTATTCTACACTTTTTACTTCCTTGTACGAAGTAAAAAGGAAGTATTGTAATCGCGAAAAGTTTCAGGCAGCATATTTCAGCTAACTATCCATTTCGACCGCTATCGAATGCAATTTAACGATGTTTTTGCGTGATATCTGTACGTAAGGACAGAATAAAATACTCGTTTCCTCCAAAAAAAATTATAAACTTACGTAAGAACTTACGTACGTACGTATCTCGCATAACTCAAAAACGAGTAGTCTCAGAACGTTGAAATATTGTATATAGGACTGCTATAACATGTAGATGTTCACCTCGTATTTTGGTTGCGATCGGCCGCACCATACGTATATAAATATATTTATATATATATCCACTCTGTTACCCTGCTAAGTGATCTCAGTTTCTTTACTCGTATATGTTCGTAAATTGTACATTTTTTGCTTTAAAAATGATTGAATTATGTTGTTTTTATCTTCCGGTTAAGGTTTTTATGCCTTTAGTAAATCTGTATGCAATATTTTTAGAATTATCAAAAATTTTAAAGTTGTTTAATTGCCGCTAAGCCTAATAATTTTTTTATGGCGGCCATTGCTTGTTTATATTTGAAACAGCAGACTAGTGGATTTGTTGCCAATATAGGGAAACTTAGCTTCGCAACAACAAAGATAACGCCTTCATTTATTATTGCCAATTAAATCACGCTTAATCCTTTCTGGAATTTTTTCGAGGAAATAAGTGTTTAAGATTTACTTGGTAATTTTTAATCTAGATATTTTGAGTTTTTATGAATTTTTGCCTTCTCGCGAAGTGAGAACTGAATTAATTAAAAGAGAAATACTCAATCGTCTGTGAAAAACTGTTATTTTTTGTTTTGTTTGCATAATTTCTTTTATACATCGTTCTAGCTTTATTATAGTATTTGAATAGAACATGTGGCAACAATTAGATAATTCTATTCTTTAAATGATATAAATTTTGTGCATTATGAGTTATAATATGAACGAAATATAATACTGTTAAGTGAATCTAGCGCCAGAATGTCGCTATGGTAAACAAATACTAGAGTGAATTTTAAAGAATGCATTTATTCTATTATGGTTTATGCGCTGTCGGCGAAGTAAATTTAATTCAATCCGATAAGTTTAAATGAAATGCAAGAAAAAATGCGTATAATTTAATATTCCGTACAAGGAAGTCATGTGGTGTACACATCAGATTTTTTTTGTTTGCGATAAACACGTTTACTAATGATTTTATGACTTCACTACTTTTTCTGATGGCAGGCGATGCTGTTGCCCTAGAAACGGGACCAGCTCCATCAGATTTCCCCGTAGGCGTTTTCTTAGTATCTAAATAACAACAAAAATCTAAAACGGTGACTCTTAACACTTATCGATGTATTGCTGTGATCTATGACTTTACTTGACGCTCTGTAGGTGACGTATTTTTTAAGAATAGGGAAGAGGATATTTCTAAGCCTGACCTATTCTTATAACTACCCAATATAGTGATTTCTTGTCAAATGTCTCAACTAATGGCAAACGCACTGCCAAGAACACGTTCAGTAGCATCTACTCCGGATCGATCTCTGTTTCTCCGTATAAATGTCATTCCGTCCACTCTATAAAGTTTCTTTTCAATCGATTTATTCTTCAGTGACAATTACGCACTCTGCCTTAGCGACAGGAAGTTTAATCCAGACCTAGGCCGGAAGGAGCAGAGATCATCGGGAGGAAATAATGATTAAAATGAAGAAAAGTTCTGTGGTCGGTGGTTATTTACCTGTTAATCGATTATTTTTAACTCGCTTCCATCAATCGATTTATAAATCGATATTTTTCAAGTTTATTTTAGCGTAATTAGGTACTTTTCCGTTTCGCCGGCGCAAATCTTGCCAAGCAGACTTTATTGGCGACAATATACAGTATACACCTAAAAAATATTTAAAAAATTTTAGTTCTAAGAATTCTTTTTTTTTTTTTTTTAAAGCCATAAACATTTTAATATCGCTTAAAACTTTATAAAAAAAAGCCAATAAATAAAGACAATAAATTTGTAAAAAGACATTAATTTAAGAATTTACTATGCTTTCATGGTTCAACATCCTGATTCGCCGGTTCGTATCACGTGACCCCAAGCGATCTCATCTCACGTAAACTACTCTACAAAAATCTAATGCTCTCAGTAATTATCTACATTAATTTCAAGTTAAATCTTAATTTGGAACACAAGTTTAAATGCAAGAAATATTTCAATACGTACGAATAGCTTACTCGGAAATTATGTAAAACCGCAGTGTTTTACTTCACTAATGCATTCTCATTAGAATTGATGAATTTAACCCATGACTTTCCTTTTCTATATTTTCGGCTTCGGGTAAGAGCTATGATTGCATCCTCATTACCGAAAATGGCCTTAGACATAAAACTGAACTATCTGATAAAAATTCTATGTAAATTATATGCCAGTATTGAAGAAACAATCAATCTGATAAGAAAAAGCTGCGACTTGTTTTGAAAATGAGGCGTAAAAGGTTGCCAGCGAGAATATTCCGTTTGGCATCGGTTGTACCATTATTGGCGACTTTATCGCTTTCACCGGCAAAACGGAAAAGTACCCGTAATTAATTAGCGTAATTTTATACCCGATTGTAATTTATCAGGGACACGGCTGGCTGATAACACTGCCAGACACAATGATTTAACCTATATAAATTACTTTGAAGATGTGATGTGGAATATATAAGGCCCTTTTTCCTTTTGTTACAATTTATTACTTTGATAAATACAAACTTTCTTTCTCTTCTTAGGATTTTCTCAATATAAAAGTGAAAATAGAAATTGCAATGTTAAAATTACCCAAAGAACATAAGATTTAGAATAGAGTATAAGGTATTTCTCCCACCTTCCTTGGCGTGCCCTCATCGTATGAGACACAGATACAACCATGCTTTCACAGATTGTTACTATTGTATTTCTCGTGTACCAAGTTTTTGTCTTGTACAGTTATCAGTCCAATTGTAACAACTTCATGACTAAACAGTAAACAGAAATGTGATTTTTCAGGAATTATTTTTTTAATCATATTTTAGCTCCTGATGTTCAGTTCCCCTCCTCTCAATATAAGTGATTTATTTCTTGTTTATTTATTTATTATTATTATTTTTTCCTTTTCTCGTTTAGGTAAACAGTTATAAAGTATTTGTGGAGTCATTTCCAATAAATTCATGCTTGTGGGAAAATATTAATACGTCCTTCCTTGGTGAGTAAATGTGATATTATATATTATTTTTTCATAATACAAGTCCTGACCGAAAGCTGCATATTAGTCTCAATGTATAAGACTGCGTAGATCTAAACTACCAGTGTTTTACCATTGTTAGTCTTTCAGGTTCTCGTTGTTATGGAATGAAATCGAATCCGCATATCATTTGGAACAGTTGTTAAATTGAACTAATTTGAAATACAGTTGTACCTCGACATACGAGTTTAATTCGTTCCGTAACCTTGCTCGTATGTCAAATTGCTCGTATCTCAAAGCAATTTTCCCCATTGAAATTAATTGAAATGCCAGTTATCCATTCCAAATCCCAAAACACCACCTCAGTTGTTTTTGTTAAGTATTTTTGAATAAGAAAAATGTATTTACAAGAAGAAACATTTATTTATAAATAACAAATACATATTCTATCCTCTTCGAGCCGGGTAGCGAAAACGCGCGCTTATCGCGGAGGCCGGCAGTGTCTTCCGCGAGCGTCTCTCCAGGGCCGGGGGCTTTTTTGCTACTAAGCCTAAATCCATGAAATTTCCGAAGTATCAACGCATTGTTTAATAATGCTCTATAGAGTATTTAAACGGCTTATGCTTTATAGATATTTTATATATATACTTTATTTACCTTATTTCTTGTTTAAATGCATATTTTACACATTTTATTTTAATTAATCACCATTTTATGACTTTTAACATTATACATCTGAAAACTAAATATATTACTTAAAATTCTCTTTTCGTATGAAATATTTTAAAACAGGGATCTACACACAGTCCTACGTTACATTCCTTGAACTCGTAATAACTCATTTGCCGTTTTGGAGGATTTTTCCAAGAATGTGAACAAACGAAGCATCGTCGTCTCGTTTTCTTATCAGTCTCTTCTGAACAAAGTTTTGGAAAACGTCTTTCAGTTAATCTTTCAGAATCAATATCAGAATTTCAGAATCAATATCTGAAATTTTGCATCATTTCTGCTATTTCATGCTCTTTAAACATTTTCGACGCTTCGACATTGAAACGGTAAAAACAGAAAGAATTCACGTCTAACAATCTGATCTAATTATTTTCTAAAAACTGAACTGTAAACCGAAATACTCAACGCTTTAGCGCATATAAAACTTCTACTTACAATAAACAACTACCACGTGCGAATAAAGTGCGATTTAAAGAGACGTCATAAATCACGCCATTCGGAAACATTTAGTTCCCCGTTTGTTTATGTAATCAAAAACACGTGTATGTGAGTCATGCTTAATAAGGGATAAGCTAAGCTAAAATTATCTAATTATCTATTTCCGTTAATGTTGCAGATTGCGTTGTTCCTTAATCTTCGAATTGGATCCGGATTATTATTTTTTGCAGACTGTTAGAGCAATTTTATAAAAGTAAGCTTGAACTTTCGATTATGTCAAATAGAATTTCCGATATATATTTACTAATATGTAAAGGATATACAAAGCGAAAGTATCTTTCGGAGTCCATTAAACAAAAAGTGGAATTGCTGCAAAAAATCGATAAAAGCATATCCTTTGTTTATCTAAACTTTAACGTTTGTTTATCTAAACTTTGTTTATCTTTAAGCGGCGGCGTGCAATGAATTGGAAGTTGATCTGTCAGCACTATCCTTATCTTAAGGGCAGATGTTTTTATTTTATTTGGCTTATAATTGCTTACTCAATGTAGTATTTCATCTCGTCTTTGATATGATTTAAATCAAATGCCTCGTCATTATAATTCGCTTCCGATAGCGAAGAAAGTGACAGAAGTTATTGAAAACGAAAAAATTTCGATTGACAAATTAGTCGGTATTCTCGACACAGCAATTATAGGACTTGAACAGCGGAACTTTGTAACCGAACAAGAAATTATGTCTGTTTATAGAATTAAAGAGAATCTATTATAACATAAAAAACGAAGCAACTTAAACAACTTACATTGAAAGAAATGTTTAATAAAGTAAACAAATAAATATTAAGCTTTTTTTTGTAAATTTTGATAATCTTTAAATCATAATTGTTCTTTATTTCGTAAATTACGGTTTCATATTTTTAATTTTATAATTTCTGCATGCCATCTTACCAGATTTAAACTGATGATCTATAATTCGGAAAAATCGATAATCCGGAATCGCCGAAGTCCCGACGAGTCCGGATTAACGGCTTTTGACTGTATATCAGGGCACTCGTATATCGAGGTATCGCTGTATGCTTCCTTTTGCAGTTTTGTTTTTTGGGGGGATGGTGCAGTCTACTGTCACAATTAGAAGATTAATGAATAAATGTAAAAGCATTCAATATTAATTAGTGTTTTTAGTCACTAATAATTCAATATTAATTAGTGTGCATGGTTATTAATTAGTGTTTAATGGTCTTCTAATTAATATTTTCATTCGTTACAAGTTATTAACTAGAAATTTATTATGATTATCATAAGGTAGATTGGTAGCTAATTATTAGTTAATTCAAAATTGTATCTAGTCGCCATCATATGGAGGCGGAAATGAGCGAAGTCGTGCTCTCACCTGTATGGTGGTCAAGGCTTTCTTTGCCAACGACAGGTGCAATCTTTGTCTCCTTGCCTGGATAAATTTCGTGGGCTTGTACTGATGTCACTGTCAGGCAAGTAAGATAAGTCACAACAACGACATACGCGTAAAAGATAAAGGTATTGTTAAATTCTGTAAATAATGCTACGCCCAAAAAGGCAGTTAACAGACGAGGAAAACTGATGTTAAAAATTCCACTAAGTCCGTAAAGCAGACTGCTATAGAGGCACTGGATCCAATGTCCTCTCAAAAGGACGGTAGAGAGCAAAGAGAGTCGAAACTTTGAGATTGTATTCCCAAGTGCTTTCGGTCCAAATTGAAGTGGAGCTCAGGCGGAGACTCTTATTTGTTTTCCGTAAACTGCGTAATCTAATATAATCAACAATTTAGGAAACTGAAACTGCCTCCTTTCTACATGTCCAGGCAATCTTCGTAGACTTCGTTTTTCCCGTTTCACTCATATTCAGATGATCACTTTCTCACTAATGAAAAAAACAACATCTCCTCTCTTAAATTTATCATTATTATACACCAGAGAACAGGGGCTCCGTTGCCTTGCAGTCCAGCAGACTGCCTTACACGGATTAAAGCCACTGCCTCCGGAAGCTACAGTGGATGGACAAAAATATGGAAACACCTTGTGAAATGCATGTTTGAAAAGAAAGATTGATTTTAATGAAATATGTAGGTGGCGCTGGCGTTTTTGACTACTGACGCAACCTATACAACTTCGTAAATGTGCTAAACAGTTCAGTTGTTGTCGGAGTACTGTTATGTGAGGTTGTCATTGCATTATGTCAGAGTTAACAGACTTCGAACGTGGGCAAATTGTTGGAGCACGTATGGTAGGTGCTTACGTAAGCAAGGTAGCCGAGGTGTTTAGTGTTTCAAGAGGTACTGCATCGAAGATTTATTCCGCATATTTGAAAAGCCGAAAAACATCATCTGCCAAATCACAGCGCGGACGAAAGTGTGTCCTGAGTGATCGTGACAGACGATCATTAAGGGCAATTGTGACGAAAAATAAGAAGACCACAGCTGCAAAAGTTACTGCTGAAATGAATGTTGTGTTACCGAACCCTGTGAATACCAAAACAATTAGAAGGGAGCTTCATAAACAGGGAATTGCTGGCCGTGCTGCAATTGAGAAGCCACTCATCAGTGATGCTAATGCCCGTAACAGGAAAAGGTGGTGTTTTAAGTCATAAAGCCTGGACTATAGAGAGTGGAGCAGTGGAAGCGAGTAATATGGTCTGACGAGTCTTCTTTCACATTGTTTCCCACTTCTGGCCGAGTTTACGTCTGGAGAACGCCATCTCAAGCCTATAATACAGACTGCTTGTTGCCAAGAGTGAAACATGGCGGGGGTTCTGTTATGGTTTGGGCAGCCATATCGTGGTTCTCTGCTAGCCCCATGATAACTGTGTCAGAGCACATGACTGCCAAGACTTATGTGAACATTTTGGCCGATCAAGTTCATCCCATGGTACAAACTTTGTTCCCCGATGGTGATGGTGTCTTCCAAGACGACAAAGCCCCTGTTCACACAGCTCACATTGTCCAGGACTGGTTTTCTGAGCACGAGGATGAGTTGTCCCATCTCCCCTGGCCACCACAGTCACCAGACCTGAATATTATCGAACCTTTGTGGTCTACATTGGAACGGAAAGTGCGTTCTCGTTATCCACCGCCAACATCGTTATCTGAACTTGTCACCGTTTTGCAGGAAGAATGGTATAATATTCCCTTGGCAAACATACAGGAACTGTATTTATCCATTCCGAGAAGACTGCAAGCTGTTTTGGATGCAACGGGTTTCCTACACCATATTAAGCAAAGAAACGTGTTTTTTTTAAAGGTGTTTCCATATTTTTGTCCAACCCCTGTATCTACTACCCGCTCTACCATAACCAGACGGCAATTACTGAGTCTTAAAACAAAGAGATACATGGACAAATAAGGCCAGTGTGCAACAGACGTTTCAATACATAGTTTCTGGATTTACAATTTTTTCTTCTAATACATACGTCATACATTTATCACAGCTTATTTACAATCAGTCCTTTGCGACATACTTCAGCCATTAATATTGATTTCAGGCATGCGATTTGACACAGTTCTATAAAAATTCCTGTGACCAGAGTTACAATTACTGTTTTCAGAAAAAAAAAGTCTGCATAAACATACATCTTAGATATACGATTATAAGACATTTCTTATTCAGACATTTAAATACCATTTAACATTAGAATCTTAGGGATACAAGGAAAACATTCGTACACCAGTCAATTTAAGGCCAATTTTTTTTTTTTTTTTAGTCCAAAGGGATTTGAATCCCGAAGGACTATTAGTTTCGTTTTGGCATTTTGCGTCGGACTCATAAATGTCGGTTCACTTTTCAAACTGTTGCCACAAAATGTTAGAGTCCTGCATTATATTTG